GCTATATTTTAAGTCTACCTAGGGATCTTCTCCTTTGTTAACTATTGCATAATGTAGTTGCAACCCTTTTCCTTTGTATTTAATTTTCTGTATCTTCTATTATGAGTTATACTAATTTCTTTATTTCTTTTTACTAGTATGTTATCTTTAGAATGGGAAACATTTTATCTTTTTTTTTTAAAGCCTTCTAAATTTGGCATCCATGCAGCCCCTCATGTTACCCACAAAATTCAGTATGACTGGTATATGTACTTTGCTGGCAAGAAAAATTCATATGTGCTTTATACTTTCAGAAGAATCTATTAGAAGGTGAAGACTCATTTACCTCACACACACTATTCATTCTTTCTCTCTCTTTACACACACACACACACACACACACACACACACACACACACACACACACACACATTCTCTCACACTCATTCATGTTGGTCTAAGCAGTTCAAGTTGGTCTAAAACAGGATGCTATATCTTCCTTAGTGGTGTACGCTTGCTTTTGTATATACTTTCTTAGGCTGTTTGGGAATATAAAAAGAATGAATGCAAATAAGTGCTTTGAATATAGTCAACTCTCCAAACACGTTAATTTGTCTTTAAAAAAGCTTTGTCTATGTCCTCCCTTGTGGCGCACCAGTTAAAAGCACAGCACTAAGAAGCTAAAGAATGAGTTAGCTCACTTTAGAATGAGTTCAGTCCCCGTCCAGGAGATGTTCCAGCAGACCTCTCCTGGCCCACTGCCCCCCTCAGCAGTGTACTTTATCTATCTGCCTGTTCTGCTCCCCACTCTGTCTCTAGTGAATCCTCTCACTGCCCCTGAACCTCTGGCCTGTACCCCAGTTCTGTGTGCATAAATAAATCTTTTTTTTTTTAAAATCTTTGAAAGCATTCTGATATGAGCAGCTTTTTGCCTTTGGAAATTCAGTGTGCAAACCAGAACAGAAAGTACATAACGTTTCTAGTTTAATCTCCATTTATGTTAAGAGTCATGCCCTTATTTTGATAGCTCTACAACATTTTTAGTGAGCTTTTATTCCCCACAATATTAAGTTGAGTGAAATAAAGGGTCATAATTTCAGAGGATTACATTTTATATATTGAGTACATTTAAAGTTACTCCTTTACATTACTTGCCCATTCTTCTGCTCTCTCTCTTCATTTATCTATCATGTTTGAACGGCAGTTGTGCTCACCACAGTACCATTAATCCTCACTTTGAAATGAACTCTGCTGTTATGGTTTAATTCAGACTGAAGTATTATATTCACAGCCTGAGACTAACTATAGAAAGTTCTGTCTGTATGGCAATAACTGGTCTTATTCTAGTTGTGATTTATATTGAATGACTAAAAACTAATACAGAGATTATTTTAAAAAATATATATACCAGATGATGGGTGACCTGTTGCATAGAAGTATAGAGAAATACTTCTATACCCCTTTATGAATATCTTTTAAATAAAGATAATAGGCAATTAATGATCAGAGAGTCACAAAAACTAGTTTTTACTTACAGGTTAATACATTTTATGTTTTCCTTTCTTTGAAAGCACTACTCATTTATTTTTTTTAGAAATAAATTTAGAGTTTTTTTTTTACGATTTATTAATTTATGCATATAGAACTGGGATACAGGCCAGAGGTCCAAGGGCTATGAGGGGATTCACCAGAGAGAGAGAGAGTGGGGAGCAGAATTGGTAGATCAATGAGGTACACTGCTGAGGGGAGCAGCAGGTGGGTCAGGAGAGGTCTGCCACACTATGTGGATCACCTCTGGTCCAGGATTGAACTCGCTCTGAAGTGTCTGCAGCTAGCTCATAGTGCTGCGCTCTAACCCATTGAGCCACTAGGGAGGGCTTATTTTCTCATTTCATTTTTAAAATAGAATGCAGATTATGATATATTTAGTAAACATTCATAGTACAAAATTAAGCAAGTCTCTGAAAATTCCACTGGTGTCTTGTTCGTTAAATATTGCACACGAAATCATGTGCATGTAAGATAGCGTGAAATGTCCTCTCAAGAGGTATAATTACATGTCTGACAAATTAACACAATGAAGGAAAAACATATACTCTAGACATTTTAGGTTCAGCTCTTCTCTGGAATGTGTCGATTTGATTAGCATGATGTCAAAGGCTAATGTTGACACCTTACAAAATAATCATTATTTGTTTACTTTTTTATTTTTACTCACTGAGTAAAGTATTTGGCCACTAGTAATGTCTAGTTTGAGTTAGTTTTTTCCTGCTATCTGATTGACTGAGAAATTTTTGAATGGTGGTTTAGTGTAGCTCATGGGATTTTAGGACTGCAACTAGAAAGCACTGCAACAAGAACTCTTCAGAATTATACTTTTAAGCTTTTGCAATCATTTTTTTCCTCTTTATGTTTAAAATTAAACACATGAATCCACCATTTAACTGAAGAAATAGGTCACAGCCTGTTAGTATTCTACTACTATCCTGTCCATGTTCCTTTACCCAGAGGGAAATTTTATTACCATTTCTTGCTTTCATGAAAAAGTGAGTGTATGTATACATAGATATCTGAAGAGTTAGCAGACAGGCTTTATAAAAATGCATTTTGCCATGCAGGTTCTTCTTTGATTTTCCCTTTTTCATCCAGTTTTGATTCTCTCTTGGTTTGTCACATTTATTCACAAGTTTGTATGTGCATTTGTTTTTATTGAGGTCACATTGGTTTCCAACCCTGCCTATGCTTCAGGCATGAGATCTTGCCCTTCAGCAACATGTGGGGTTCTAAGATTCATCTATATTGCTGCCCTCTCTACATTTGTTGCACTTTTGCTGACATGAGGTGCTCTAAAAGTTTGATTAGTCTCCATCTCACTTAACCTTTGGACTGCCAGTGGGTTTTTTGTCTTCTCAGTTACTGTATTGGGCACACTGTTGGGAGTGTTCAGCAATACCAAGTAAGCAGTTTCGTGAAGGAAAGTTTGTTGAGGCCAGCTACTTTTCCCTTTGAGTAGTTTTTGTATTGTTTCTTTTTTTAGTTAAGTGTTCCCTTTTTGCTCTTTCCTCTTATTTTGACTTACAGAAACCTACAAGATAATGGAAAAATAATTCCCATAGACCTTTATTCATCCTCTTTATTAAACTTAACATTTTACCACATTGACTTTACCTTTGTTCTTCTCCCTTCTCATTCTCTTCTTATCCCTCTTCCTCTTCTTAATATTTTAGTGTTTTTTTGCTCTTATGCTGAGGCCATAGCTAAGTGGTTTGTATATATTACTTTATTTAAGTTGCATCACACTATATTTTTTCATTTTCAAAGAGGTTACTGTGACTTAGGAGTTTGGGTAATTTGCCCAAGGCTATTTGATGAATAAGGCTATGCATTGAAATTTGAATCCATTTCTGACTCCACAGCTATGGCTTTTATTTGGGAAGTAATATTGTGAGGTCACAGAGGTTTTGAAGTGTATGGCATAATCAGAGAACACTTAGTTGGTGTGACTGGAGTGAAGCAGCTACATAGTGCTGTCATTTCTGATTTGGGTGAAGAGTTCATTGTGGTACTGTAAACTAATATGGACAGCTTGAAGGCAAGCAGGTTTATATAAGATGATGGGTAAGTTTGCTTTATTGATTAGACAGGTAAAGGGAACTGGCTGGTACTTGGCAGAGAAATGGACATAGAAGCCTGCAGAGCAGTTTGTGAGAGATGTGAGTTTAGGTGTTTTAAAGTGATTTAAATAATGGACTTTGAAGGCACGGAGCTTGTTCTGAACATTGGAAGACCAGAGGATATAGGAAGCAATGAGATTTTAGATTGAGTGGGGGAAAGAGAAGTGAGGATGTTGGGAAGACTTCCAGGAGAGGCAGGAGGAGAGGTGCCAAGGTGAATTTTTCAGGGGAGAAGTACCTTGTGTAGTATGTAGTGTCTTGAAGACATGGAGCCACACAGTGAAAATGTATTAAGCTTATGAGATGATCCAATAGGCTACCAAGCATAAATTATTATCGTTTCAGATTATTAAATCCTAATGACCTTGTAAATGTCTTTCTTCAGGAAAAAATTCCTTTTCTATTGTGAACTGCCTTCCAGATTCATGGTAGGACTTCGCTAACATTGCTACTGATGCCAATGTGGAATAAAGGTCTTTATTATTTAGAAAGTGAAAATTAATAAATGCTAAAAATGATATGATTATCACTCCTCTTAAGCTTTTAAGACACATCATAAAGACATATTTGAATTTTTAGAAACAGTGTTTGAAGATAATTATACACTGTTTATTTTGCCCTCATGTATATTTTTGTCTAACTTCATGCCTGGCCATTGACTTTCCTTTCATGACTTTTGTAGTTGAACCCTCATCACATTCTGATACTACTTTGTTACAGAAACATATTTCAATATTATGTTTTGTATAAGCAGATTAGCAAATTAAAATGTATTTTAACATGGAAAATAATTTGGTTTACTGGAAAAGAAGTGAATGCATAGACAGCTGGATTAGATATTTCAAAGTCATTGTTCTTTCCTATTAGCTCTTACTATTATGATAATTACTAGGGAGTTTGACTTGACTCCTCGGTCATAGGGCTCTGAGTGTGTGCAACGTCGTCTTTTGCTCACTGCTCTCCCTTAGTGCACAGTGCCTGTGTGTGGCTATCGCATGCACAAGGTGCTCTTTCTCCACTAAAATGAGTAGATAGGACACATATTCAGATCCCTTTTCAGAGTTAGAAATGTGCTTTATGTGTCAGTATTAGTACAGAAATACTAAGATTGTACTAAGTAATTTTGTTTTGTAAAATTGTTTTCTTTACCCAGGTATTCCTCAGAAATGTCATGTTAATTTTAAATTTTAGGTAATGGTCCCTGAGGAATAGTCCTAGAAACTTTCAGTATCGTTGTTATGTCCCTTACCCTTTACCTGTTATCTCTTCTTGTCCTCTCTTTTTTTCCATCAACCTGTTCTGTTTCCTTATTAATGGCCCTACCCTTGTTTGTTTGTTTTCCTTTAGTCTCGGGTGTCCATCTCTCTCCAGTTTCTGAGATTGCCCTGGACCAAGACCACGCCTCGCCTCCAGTCTGCCTCTCTGAATCCATCTCATCACCAGAGAACATACATGCAGACAGCAGCATTGTCAGCCAGCCAGTCCCTGCAGCACAGGTGAAGACTGGAGCACTGTAACGGGAAGTTGCATACTTTACAAAGGATTGAATGGATTTAATTGAATCTTTTCTGACTTTTTTGTTTCCTTATTTTATACAAGATGTGTTTCTATAGGTATTCTGACTTTGAGGCTTTATCTAGGCTTCAAAAACCGAGAAATATGCTTTGTGGCACAGTTGCAAGGTATTTAAGTAGCTTTAATTACCAAAATTTGGTTTGAGTGCCTCATTTATTCACATTGGCTTAGCTTTGTATTTCACATCTTTAACTTCAAAAAGAAAATAATCACAAATAGTAATTATTTAATCTTTTCAGGGAAACTTAGCAGATTTTCAGGTATTAGATTATTCATTTCAATTTTGGATCAAAGTCCAAGAAGCAGGCAGTGGTGAGGTCTGTTGTGACATTTGCCTAATAAAAATTGTATTTGACAACATAGTTATGCAGAGGTTCAAGGGGTGGTTCTGCAGATACCTATTACCTGTCCTGGAGTAGGAGGACCAGTTACAGCTTACTAAGACATTTCAAATTCTTGCTCACAATTTAAAATATAGACAAACCATGGTAGGTGCATACATGAAAAAGAGAACTGGTGAGCATCTGGTATACTTTCAAACATTAGATAAAGTTTTAAGCCTTTTAGTACTTGGCTTACAAAATATAAAAGATTGAGACTTTAAACTTTATTATTTTTGCTAAAATTGCACCATGTACATTTTGTTTAAAATATATATATGTATATATATTTATTTGTATGTATACACACACACACATATATATACGTATATATATACACATACACACACACACACACACATATATACATACATACAATGTACAATGTTTGCTTTCTTTTCTCAGGTGTAGTCCCCATAGAATTTCCACCACCAATTCTCTGGTATACCATCGCCATAGTATCTTGTGCTGTTCCCACCCTCATTTTGATTTCTTTCCCTCCCCCTCCCTTGCAGAATGTCTCTGATTTATAGTTGTCTGTTTATTTTTGTTTTGATATTATTTCCCCCCCCTTGATCTCATATTTTTCCTATAAGTAAAACCATCTGGTATTTTTTTCTTTTCCTTCTGACTTATTTCACTGAGCATGAGCCCTTCAAGTTCCATACATGTTGCTGTAAATGGCATGGAGTTATCTTTTTGATTGCCGAATAGTATTCCTGTGTGTGTGTGTGTGTGTGTGTGTGTGTGTGTACGTACGTACGTACGTGTACACCACATATTCTTAATCCAGTCATCTCTTTTTGGGCATTTGGGTTGATTCCAAGTCTTACCTATTATAAATAGTGCTGCAATATACATAGGGCTGTATGTATTCTTTTGAACTGTTTTTGTGTCCTTTGGGTAGATGCCTAAGAGTGGACTTGCTGGGTCATATGGTAGCTCCATTATTAGTAGTCTAATGAACCTCCATACAGTTTTCCACAGTGCTTGTACCAGTTTGCATTCTTACCACAGTATAGGAGAGCTCCTTTTTCACCACATCCTCACCAACATTTGTTGTTGCTAGTTTTTTTTTTTTTTAATATGTGACATTCTTACTGGTGTAAGGTGGTATCTCATTGTGATTTTAATTTGCATTTCCATGATTATGAAGTAGGTTGAATATTTTTTCATATGCCTGTTGGTCATTTGTAGTTCCTCTTTGGAGAATTTAGACTTTAAACTTTGGAGTAAATTTTATTTCTTACTGCAAAGATCAGGTTGTTGTAACAGCTTGAGGTCTTCAGTTGATTTACTTAAAGAGTGAAATAATGCCGGAACCTTTGCTACAACCTAATTCCAAATGCGGTTTCTGGTGCTCTTTGGATGTTTTCATTATTGGTACAGTGTAAACTTTCCTCTCTTGTGTATTTTTTTTCATGTGGTCTAGATGCAGCAATCAACACATACTCATCTGGATATCTCACTTTTTCCATTGGGTTTAACCGATGAGAAAAGTAATGGAACAATTGCTCTTGTGGATGATTCTGAGGCTCCAGGAGCCAATGTGTCAAACAGACAGCTTCAGCAGAAAATTTCAGGCCTGGAGATTAAGCTCAAAGTTTCTGAAGAAGAAAAACAGAGAATTAAAAAGGTACATTTACATTTGTCTTAGATAGTATATACTGGAAATTTGATACAGTCCCAAATGTAATAAAAAACTCATCAGGGAAGGAGGTAATGTGTCTTCCTTGGTTGTGGGTCCAAATCAGTCAGAATGGCTCATCACTTAGGAAAACCCATGGGTTATTAATAAATGAATATCTTTCAGTAGATTTTTTTCCCCCTGAAATGCTAATGCTTCCTTTCTTGTTTATTTTTATTTGCTTTAAAAGCAGGCATATCCTCAGCAGATTGGAAGTGTTATATGGCAAGACTGATTAGTCCCTGTGTGAGTGAGGAATTGTGGGTTGTGTGACAAGAAAGAGTACTTAACAGTAGTTTCACTAAATTATTTATGTCTGCCATTCTCTCTGTATAAATACACATATGAAAGGACCTTAAGAAATAATATGGAAATTATATGTAGAGATTCTGTTGATTATAGTTAGTTGAGGTATTTTATTCTTTTATTGGACTAAGTAATTTTAGTGTTAGTTTGATACTATCTTGGAAGTGAGAGTATAGCAGACTCTGTAACATTTGTTGCACATTTAAAATCCTAAGGTTCTTGCCCTACCAGATACTTTCTAGAATAAAAACATCTTTGTGCTGTTAAATATTATAAAATTTATGCTGGGGCTTTCTTCTAGGATGTGGAATCATTGATGGAAAAGCATAGTATCTTAGAAAAAGACTTCCTTAAAGAAAAAGAGCAAGAGGCCATTTCTTTTCAAGATAGATACAAAGAACTTCAGGTAAGCCCATCATGTCACAATTTTATATGTGATCTTTTGGCAAAACACATACTATAATTTCTAAAAGTGTGCATTCAGTGAATTGTGAATACTTCAAGATGAAAATTGGATGCTGGCTTGATATGTCAGACACTGACCAGCAGATAATGCCTTAAAAATAAAGCCCATTGGCTCTCCCTGGTAGTGCAATGGCTCCCTGGTAGTGCAACGGGTTAAAGCACTGCACTATGAAGCTCTCTGAAGCCATGGCAGCATGAGTTCAATCCCTGGCCAGGAAGCTGACGCTCATGACATGGCAGACCTCTCCTAACCCACCTGCTGCTCCCCTCAGTGTATTTCAGTCTATCTGCCTGCTCTGCTCCCCACTCTGTCTCTGGTGAATCCTCTCACCCCCACACCTCTGGCCTGTACCCCAGTTCTGTAAGCATAAATAAATAAATCCTTTAAAAATATCCCACTGGAAAGTGTGAGTCTGTGAGAATCTGGTAGTGTCAGTAGTTTAAACTCAATATGGGCAGAAGTATTATTTCTGGTAAAATTTAAAAGTTGTACTTTCTAACTTTTCTAATTTTGATTATATTTGAAAAGATTAGACTCTTATAAACCCAGACTGAAATATTTAGCCTTTTATAGAGTCTTGGTAATGTAATCAGTGACTTCCCTTTTCCTGAAACCTTCTCTTTTTAAAAAAATTTATATGTATGTAGGTATATATATCTATGTCTATAGATATATGCACTTCATTGTTCATTTTTGTACATTGTATACCTTCTCTTCTCAGGTGTCATCCCTGTAAAATTCCTACCACCAATTCATCTGTGAACTATCACCATAGTCCATTGTATTCTTCCCTCCCCTTTTTTGATCCCTCCGCCTTCCCATCCTTTGTCTCTGATTTATAGTTGTCTGCCACTTTTTAAAATTATGTTATTTTTTTCCTGATCCTTTACATGATTCTTCTATATTCCTCCTGTAAGTGAAATCATCTGATATTTTTCTTTGTCCTTCTAGCTTACATTGCTAAGCATAACCCCTTCTAGCTCCATCCATGTTGCTGAGAATGGCATAAGTTTATCTTTTTTGATTGCTGAATAATATTCCACTGTAGTATATATACCATATCGTCTTGATCCAGTCACCTACTTTTGGGCTTAGGTTGTTTCCATATCTTACCTACTGTAAATCATGCTGTGTAAACATAAGGGTGCAGTTATCTTCTTAATAAGCCTGTTTCTTTTGCTGTTGTCCAATCCAGTAGGTGGCAACTCAATCTTTCTAGTTTCTGAGACTGACCCCCACTCATATTTCTTTTTGTAGCTACTCCACATTTGACGCTTAACAAAACCTGTTGGCTTGACCTTAGAAACCCCCATGTCTGACTGGTGCTATTGTCACTGCCACCCACCTACTCTAAGCCCTCATTGCTTCTCTCTGGAATACTGAACTAAGCTTTAACTCACCTTTTGGTTGTCATTGTCTGCTCACAGACCATGCTCCACTTTGCAGCCACTGTGATCTCTCTAGTACTTAAAGCTGATCATGTCATTTTTCTGCTCTGAAACCTTCAGTGGCTTCTCATTTTAGTCAAACTAAAAACCAGGTAAGTCCTTAAAATGGTTTTTACAGCCCTGTGTTCTCTCATAATCCTTCTTAGTGACTCCCTGCTTTTCTCCTCCATCATTTTGCTCTATCCATCATTTTGCTCTATCCCCATTCTGGAATTCTTTGATTTTCTGTGTCCACTACTTTGTCAGAGAGACCTTTCTCAGCGCAGTGTGGACCTCCCCTCCACCTTACTGTGTCTTATTCTCTTTTTCTCCATCGCAACATTTTCACCTGACAAACTGTATTCACTGTCTGTGTATTTGGGTCATTGTGTTGGCCACCTAAAGGGTCATCTAGCTTCCACGCTCCCTCTCCCTCATGAATCAACGTCAGCAGGCAGTGTTGTCTTTTAAAAAGACAGATCAGATCATGGCCTCACTTTGGTTCTCCTTCTCCCTGTGCATGCTTTCAGCTTTTCTGGCATTTCTAGTACACCTGTATCTGCATCCTTATACTAGACGTGGCAACTGGTGTAGAGGTGGTGTTGGGGATACATTCCTTAGTTATGGCTGTGGGAAAGGGGCAGGAATGCTCTCCCTGCAAGCAGCTGTGTGATTCTTAATAAACAAAAACAAAAACAAAAACAAAAAACCCCCGCAAAGTTTGAAAGTAAGGAAAAGGGTGAGCCATGTGTCCTATCAGGGACATTGTTTAGTCCCACCCAAGAATTTTTATCAGGGAATGTTCTTTATTTGACTCACTGTTTACTATTGATCAGATGTCTCAGGTTTGTTGACATCACATTTTAATTTTTTTCCCAGAAGATATGCAAGTAGTTTCTGTTAGAAAAGATAATCTCAAAGGATCCTACTTGTCTGACCCTCTTTAGTCTGTAGCCTAGAACTCTTTCCTATTCTAACACTGTTATTGAAATTTTTCTCCTCATTTTCTCTTTGAACTAGTGTGATTGTGTGATTCACTCAGTGCTAGCATAAATGATCCATTTATCAATGAATGAGTAGAATAAAATCTTTGGCATCTCTTCAGTTTCTATGAGTCACATTTTAACTGTATGAACCACTCTCCCTGAGTCCTCTTCCCTTATAATACCTGTTCAGATGCTCCCTTCTCATGGTGTTACAGGACATCTCAGAGTGAATTGGGTTACCTGTCTGTGGGTTCTGCCATCCTCCACGTCAAGACAAAACATATAAAACTTTAATATATAAAAGGGACTTTAATACAGTAAATATACAATACAGAACACAAAGAATATAACTTCTAAATCAAACACCTGAAGTTACCCATCCCCTCGTGGGCAAAAGTCAACTCAAAAGGGATTGGCACAAAGCCAGGCCTGAAAGCCAGACATAAGACTAAAGCACCTTTTGGCTGGGACCCATAGGAAAGGGTCAGAAATAGCCAGACAAATCTGGGAGGTAAAGAGCAAAATTAAAATCAATATAAACACTGCCATAGTCACCTCCCTACAGGTATCTCACCCACATCTGCCTTAACCAGTCCAGGGTCAGAAAACTGTTGGGCCCAACCAGTAATTCCGCCCCTCCGTCTTCCTTTGTGTCTGTGTGACCCCTCCCTAAGCCCAAACAGATATGCAGGCAGATACCACACCCTAGTGTTATAATCCCTGAGACAGGTCGAAATTGGATTATGATAAACACGCCCTTGTGGTTGAACTGTGATGTGGGCTATGACTCATGTAACGGTCAATGGGGCCTATATATTCCCTGACATCCCCCTGGTCTGGGTCTTGCTTACCTTGTGTGGCCTGCGTGCCTGCAAGAAAGCTTGACCCCAGCTAGCTGGCTCAATAAACTCTGCTTGCTTGTGCATCACTGGTCCTGTCCTTTGTCATGGGAGGCAACCGGGTGATTTCAGACATTAACAAAACAAGCATAGTTTCTTCATCACATGCTTGTTGCTCCATGTGGCTTCCTTAGGTCTCCTCCTGTTCTCCATCCAGCTTCCTTCTCCTCTTCTCTTTTGATTCCTTCCTTTTTCTCTGCTCAGCTCCACCCTACCTCTGGGTGGGGCAGGGAACCTGGAACTTCCCCTTTTCCTAGGGACCACCCTGTTACAATGGGGGCTTTCCTTGACATGCTGTGCAAGTTCAAAATTCTTGGCCCCTCTCCCTTGTTCTTCTCTTTACCCCTAGTACTTATCTCTGCATGACTCATCAAGAATTTTGAAAATCCTGGGCTTCACTATTTGATCTTTTTTCTATAATCCATTTTCTTCTGGGCATGGAGGCTTTTTTCAATCTGGCACAAAGTTAGTTTTATCAAATCAGTTAGAAATAGGAGATGAGGTTAAATTTCTGAGTATTACAGAGGCCACTGTATAATAAATGGAGGATGAGGCACTACTAAAAGTGACATTTTTTTAAAATAGTAATTTTTAGAAAAATAGTGAATATTTTAAATTTCTTGCTTGAATTTATGGTCTGGCAGTCATCCTTTGGATATTTGAAAATATAGTTGCCGTATTTTTTTCTGTAGTGTATAACTACGCATTCATCTTATATATTAAAGTACATATAACGCATAGGTCTTCTAGTATTTATGAAGCTTAAAAAATGTTGTCTTTTTTGTCATTTGCCTTATCTTCCAAGCAGTTCCAGTATCGTGATGAGGGAGGCAGGTGAGGGAGTTAGGTGCCTGAATCCTTTATGAGTTTGATGATCTTTGACAAGTCACAAATCCATTCTGTGCTTTAGCTTTTTAATATAAATTTGGATAGAATACTGTTGCTCACCCCATAGAGTTTTTGTGAGGATTAAAAAAAATTAATACATGTAAAGCACTTTGAAGATGCCTGGAATGTAGAAAAAAAAAAAAAAGGAAAAAAAGTTGTCTTTTCTGCCATTTCTGTTGACAAGTATGTTGATGCCCACCTCTGTTATTCCAGAAAAACAAAGTTTTAGTAATACAGAAAGAGTAATCACACTAGATTAAAATAGTTAAGAAAATTCCTTAACAATGTTAGTATGCTTATGTATTTATAAGAATAGTAAAACTCATTGTGGAAAACATGGGCACAACAGAAAAAGAAAACTATTTATACATATTCATCATGAAAAATCCAGGTAATCTAGTGATCTCAAAATACAGGACCTTGAATTTTCATTTTTATAAAGAAATTGACCTCCAAATAGGCCAACACTGGGTGTGCCTTTGTGTAGATTTTGTGTTGGCTCAAGAAAGAATAATTAACAAATGGAATATTTGTAAAACATTTGAACAAAAAAAATAACACTGTCAGGGAGAATGCTAGCAGTGTTATTTTATGTGATATTATCTGATTAGCAGGATAGGTGGAGGGTGTGAATGTGCCCTTAGTGGGAGGAAATAGCGAATACTGCGAATCCCTGCACAATGGGGCTGTGCGCCTCAGCTCCTTTCCTGTTCTGGGCAGGGTGTGTGGACTACCCAGAG